CTTTCTGAGGTCTCCTGTGGCGTGCAATTTGAATAATAGCCGGGATAGGGTGCTGAAGTATAATTTTAATTGCAAATATTTATGTTAAACGAGCCCCCGGGCGCCGTCGAATGCCTTTCTAGAATATTGCAAAGCATGATATATTGCCAGGAAAATCTTATGTACTCAAATTATGTTATTTATGGCTTTCATAAAACAGGCCTTGTTTTGGCCTTTTGTCTCCTATTGAGATGTCGTTTTTAAGCCCGTCCGCATGAAGCTAGAATAGGTTACCAGCGAACGGGTACGGAAAAAGGCTCTATAACTATGTCTCAATATCGTCGACTTTTAAAAACATAGGTATTATGGAGATGAAAAATGGGTCAATAAGTTGAAAAGCATAAAACAAAATATTAATCAGATCAATAAAAAAATTTTTTTTTTCAATATCTTCCGATTTATTTTCACTCAATGTTGGCAAACAAAACAAAAGAGAATATTGAAACAAACAACAAAAAAATGAATCTAAATCTTGATTTAGTGTCCATTGATTACGACCAAAATTTTATTATTGAATGGCCATGAAATGACCCGAAAGACATGAAATCAGTAGTAATATACTGTTATGATGAATATGAGTGAATAGTTCGATTTAAAATTAACATCACGGATTCACTTGTGGCTTTAGCGGCGAGTAATTATAACTTCATTTTTACCAACATATCGTCGACCTTGGAGTTCAGACCGCGTTACCTGAAAAAGAAGTGAAACAGGTCAGTTAAAGGTAAATAAACTTTGAGTACAGTTCACCTAACAATAGTGTGAAGCCTTTCAAGCAGCACGCGAGTTCGTTGCTACCTAAGTGACATAATTAATTTTATTTTCTATTTATACCGAGTGAGGTATATTTGCCTTAAAACAACATGACGCTGTTGTTTAACATTATTCTACAGTTATACCAAATAATATTGATTTAATTTATGAACTCGATGTTAATTTCGTATGAATTTTATAATCGAACGATTCACATTTTATAAGTTCCCCGCATCAACGAAACTTTACTTACTTTAGTATAAATATATTTGCAAATTATGAGTTTCAAAATAGAATACATCATTGAATGTAGTATTCTGCAAATGACACCATATCTACATTCGGTTCAGTGGTTCCAACGATTGCCTCCTCACAAAGAATCATGGATTTTAGGCCATTGTTATATTAGTGACAACAAACTATGTCTGACTAAAAGTAAACATTCTATATTCTCTAATAATCTTGGTTATGTACTTGTGTTTCGTTTTTTTCTTGAATTTAGAAATGGCTCTTCATGATCATCAGTTTACAGTCGTCCTCTGTTAAAGAGACCTTAGAACTGATATCTCAAGGTGGGTGGCGCATTTACGTTGTAGATGTCTATGGGCTCTAGTAACCACTTAACACCAGGTGGCATGTGAGCTTGTCCACCCATCTAAGTAATAAAAAACTAGATATTAACATTAGCATGAAGCCGTGCGTGTGTGCGTTAGATGTGTATGTATAGATACTAGAGGTCCCACAGTAGTCGAAATTCGACTATAATTAATTGGAATTGTAAGTTTTTACCCTATTATGATTGTATTTTATACTTCTTTAATCACAAATTTCGCCAAAACTACACTATAAAAAATATTAACAAAGACAAACAATATTTAATCTATTCTCAATTTGACAACAGACGTCAAGAACAAAAGTTTGACAATAGATAGTATGCATGCGTGTGTGCGTCAAATACATGGTATGTAGTGTGTGTAATGTTTTCTTTATTGATTTAATGTATCTTTTATGCATTATTTAAAAAAAATATTAGCATTGTGCACTTTTTTTCTATATTCTCTATAAGTGTAGAAAATTTCATACTCCTCCGTCCGCGCAATTTTCGTAAAAAGGGACACAAAGTTTTTGCTTCACGTATTAATATATAGATAATATTATGTGAATCTTCTAATAGGAATCTCTCGTTTCATTAATATCACAATACCTTCATAACGGCTCGTATCACAGGGTCGTCGGACAGTTGATGTCACTTGCACACACGTGATTAACGACGACGATCGAGTTAAGCCGCTACATGTAACGTGTCAATTTATGTGTTATTGAAGTATATTGTAAGCGACATAAGGTCGTTTTTTTCTTGGCAATTAAGTTTGGGCTGTTTTCTGTAGATACATTTTGATCAGTCTTATTTCTTTACGTTGTGACACTCGTAGGTTATCATTGGCAAACGCCCCACTCGTTCTTGAAGTGAAGCATTCAATTATGCATCACATACATATGTACACCAATGAAGTAGGAAACCTATGGAAATGAAACGTCAACCAAAATTTCGTGCCACTGTGACGTCATCTGGCCACAAAACATGGCGGCTTTAGTGCTGTACAAAAGATTTCAATGTTATCAGGTTTTATCGATAAACGTTCTTGGCTCATTTTATTTTAAATATTGTTGAGTATTATTTATTTGTAGAATTTATACTTTAATGNCACACATATATTTAATATACACCCATAACCCTGGAAAGACATTTATATTTATCATACAAATATCTTCCCTTGGCGGGATTCGAACCCGCGACCCCCTTGTGACCATATACTTGTGTTGTTCCATCCGTGACCTCATTTTTCTGATGAATCAAGGAAAAATACGTTTGAATCAGTTTCTAAACGAAAACATGTTTTTTTTTTATTTTTTGAAACGTAGGTACTCTATGATGGCCTTACATTGCCCGTGTTTATGACTGTTTCCTCATAACATTATTAAGATAAGTTCTCTTTATCATAATACCTTTTTTTTTTTCGGGCCGGTGCCCGAACCTCCTGCACTGTCCCCGTGTTTAGGGGGCGCGCGGGGTATGTGGGACTTTACGATCTGCAAGGTGTTCGGAGCAGACCGCGGGCCTAAGGAATTTTAGGGCCTTACCGCTTTACATAAGCCGAATACTAGACTGCAATAGATACAACCCTCTGCAATTATATAGTGATCCAGGTCACTTATGTACAGCCACAGAATGCAACCACACATCTGGCTTCTCTGCGACGCTGTCTTCTGTACATAGATCCGACCTAAATCTATCAGTCTAAAGATAGACAACAATGGAAGATGCTTATACAAATAGGCTACACTGAACTAAAGAACTGAGAGATATTCTGTAAAATATACAAAAATTAAATCAACAGTCTTTTTAATAAAGGACAAAGGACTCATTGATTGATTGATTGATTGATTGATTAAAAATCTAGCAATCCTGTACTTAGATACAGTCCTCTGCAGCGGTATTGATACCTAGCTTTTTAATATTGTTATTTAGTGGTTACCGGAGACCATAGACATCTACAACGTAAATGCGGCCACCCACCTTGAGATATGAGTTCTATGGCCTCAGTATGGCCTCACAATGGCTGCCCCACTCTTCAAACCTTCACCCTCTGGATCACGTGTCAAGTAAAAGGCCAGCCGTTGATGCTGTAATCTAAATTTTCTTATTCTCTACTCAACCGCTGGTAGCCTTAAGGGCTATTCCAGCTATTCACGGATTATAATCTAAAGATATCTATACTAATATATACCTAAATCTACAGTGGTTTTTACGGATGTTCCGCTATAACTACTGAACCATGCATCCGATCGACTTGAAACTTGGTATCCGTGTAGAAAATACATGTACTCAATGGATAGGCTAAAATTTGTATGAATATTCGACTCCCTACACCAGTTGCGGGGCGTTAATGATGAGAATCTTTGTGGGGGTGAGAAATAATAATGTTAATTTTAAATGCCCAGCGAAGCGGACAGGTACAACTAGTACAATATAAAAATGAGTTATAAGCGTATGAAAAATGTATCTACAATTCCTATCTAAATTCGAGCAACTTATATAGCTTTGGCATTGCCGAATATTGTTATCAAACCAGATCGATGAGGCATCTCGGAAGCTCTAGACACGTAGAGGTTAGATCTTAATTCAGTTCACGTATGATATTATCATACATTAACGTCACGTTTGTCACGTAGGTAGTACACGCAGGCAGTTAAATCTAAGGAAGCTATGTTTTGAAGGAAAATAATGTTGTAACTTCGTAAACAACTCGTGTTTTTTATTAATACGCATGCTCGTTGTAAAAATGATTCCACTTTAAGCGTTTTAAACGTTACAAAAAGTCAAGAAGGGTGTATTTTCCAAGCCTAATTTAATTCGATTAACCACGTTATAAAAATTATGAAAATGCAAACGCAAAAGTACACATTCATTTTGCATTCGTATATAGCGATGCACCGGTGTTCGAATCCCGCAGGCGGGTACCAATTTTTCTAATGAAATACGTACTAAACAAATGTTCACGATTGACTTCCACGGTGAAGGAATAACATCGTGTAATAAAAATCAAACCCGCAAAATTATAATTTGCGTAATTACTGGTGGTAGGACCTCGTGTGAGTCCGCACGGGTAGGTACCACCGCCCCGCTTATTTCTGCCGTGAAGCAGTAATGCGTTTCGGTTTGAAGGGTGGGGCAGCCGTTGTGACTATACTGAGACCTTAGAACTTATATCTCAAGGTGTGTGGCGTATTTACGTAGTAGATGTCTATGGGCTCCAGTAACCACTTAACACCAGGTGGGCTGTGAACTCGTCCACAGGTCTAAGAAATAAAAAAAATAAAAAAAATACTAGCGCACAAACGTAAAAGCATATTCAAGAAAAATTATCAATACATTGAACGGGAATAATCCTGCACGTTAATTTCTAAGTAAAATACCTAGGGGAAACTTCAGACACCACAATAAATGAGATCACAACAATAACAAATCATAGAATTCGTGAATGACTGTACACACAATTTTCCTGCAGGAAGAAACTCATTTACATTAATAAAACAGCGTATGTTTGATTTATTTTGTGGTCTGCTCATTGTATTTTCCTTAAACGAATACTCTATATAAGCGATGGATTCATTTGCCACTGAACAGTTGAAAAACGGTGGACACGATGTACAGACTAGTGTGCTTTCTTGTTTTTGTGGGCGCAGTCGCGGCTAACGACATTGTTATCAGCCACGAAAATGGCAAGAAAATATACGATAGCAACAGAACCGCCAGTCCGGCGATATGGAGACGAGCTGACAAGATAACTGTCAACGCTACAGACAACGAAGTCATCAGCGGCGTGATCATCACAGATTTGAGGGCGGAGAAGGACGGAGAGGTGCAAATCGTCGAAGGGGGACAAGGACAGAAAAACGTTACCTTCGAGTTGAAGAGCCCGGCTGTGTTCAGAGGCTACGAATTCCACGTTGAAGTTTACTCTGTGCCCGAAGATGAAATACAAGCAGAAGTAAATACCTCCACCAAGTTATCAGACGCGAAGGTGCCAGCATCCGTCGCTGGAGAAACGCATAACCCGGAGAAGAATTTAAGAGAAACGCGAAAAACCGAAACGGCTGCGACAGCTACGTCTGAAGCTTCAGACGAGAAAACGACCTTCACAGCGACAACTGAACAAGGCCAAACTTTAATTACGACCCAGAAACCTGAGTTCTTCAATCCTATTGCCATGAGCAAAGACATTAACATCAACGGTATTCCGACAGCATCGAACGTGGACGTACAAAGTACAACCGAGGTTAATGTTGAAGGTAGCACTACTGCTGATCGCACCACGGTGGTAGGCCGCGAAGAAGAGCTTCCTACCGATAACGATGTCTCTCAATTCGCGCTGTTAAAGGACAATTATGCTCCTTCGACTTCGCAGCACGCTTCGACGATTCCACCAGTGGGTTACAGCACGCACGTATACAAAAATAAGTACACGCGAAATGATTAAAGTTATTTTAATTACCTATTTTTTTTAGGTTAGATTGACCATCGCTATTTTGTTTAGCAAATGGTCATATTTGTGTAATTATAGGTGACCCTCCTATAAAACGGTTCTAAAAATTCCCTAAAACCCCTATTTCGATGACACGTTAAAGATATTTTTGTTTATTTAGAAAGAATAACCGAAATTATATTTCAATTTTTTTTGTCTAATAGGTTAAAAAATACATACAGGCACAGTTGAGATATTTTGTTCAGAAATTACTCTCTTTTTTGTAATGGCTTCTAGTCTCATTAAAACAATTTCGCACAACACGGTAGTACTTTGTAGAGCCGTGTAATACTCGTAGGAGGGTAACCTGTATACTGTTTATTAGGTGCCTATTTATAAATTTCAGATATTCAAGAAAATAGCCAGCATTGATATAGCATTGTACTAATTTTAATTCGAAGCTAATGTGCTAAAATAAAAACTCTGAAGGATATATTTTGATAGTTTTATTGAAATAACAACCTGATTTAATAAAAATACTGAGTTATAGCGGAAATCGAAGCTGGAGGCTCAAGTTATAACGGTTGTTCTGCTCTTTAAGTTCGCAGCGATAATGGGCAGGCTGGTGGAATTTACACGCATGGGTGATAAGCCTCGCAATTAGCCAGTAACTAGATTTATTAATTTTCACATTTCCACTTGAAATGTTACCAGTACAAGACGCATTCTAAGGTTTGACACTAAGAATATATCTAAATATTCAGATTAATCTTGATTGGGATGAATCAAACAATTAATTTCGTAAAAACAAATTTATTAAAACTTAATAATTGGAATGAAGAGTTTATTATAATAACAATATTTTTTTTAATAATGTTTAACAATATTGGCGATACATTTTAATGTATGAAAATTATTAAAATAAATCCATAAATGAATTCAAAAATCAATCAGAAGTTCATTATGCACACTCCGTTACGTCTACAATTAATATTCAATGAAATAGTTTGATAAAAAATAACATTTTACTGTCATATTGTCAATAAATTATCTTTTGTCATATTGAATCTCCAATTGATATATTGTGAAATTACAACATTCAATATCTAAAAAATATGACACGAAAGATATTTAATAAAATAAGTAGTAATATTGTCCGAAGTTTAAAATAAAAAAACTTTTTTTTTGTTCAACAGAAACTAAAACACAGGAAAGATCTTTTACCGAGCGGGTATCATTGCTATAATCTATATATATAAAAGAAAGTCGTGTTAGTTACACTATTTATAACTCAAGAACGGCTGAACTGATTTGGCTGAAGATTGGTGAGAAGGTAGCTTAGAACCAGGAGAAGGATATAGGATACTTTTTATCACGTTCCCGTGGGACGTGACATAAAACGTAGTATAACAAAACGCAACTGATATTGAATAACAAAACGCAAATGACAGCTAAACGTTCTATGGTTAAATCAATGAAGTAGGAAACCTATGGAAATGAAACGTCAACCAAAATTTCGTGCCACTGTGACGTCATCTGGCCACAAAACATGGCGGCTTTAGTGCTGTACAAAAGATTTCAATGTTATCAGGTTTTATCGATAAACGTTCTTGGCTCATTTTATTTTAAATATTGTTGAGTATTATTTATTTGTAGAATTTATTCTTTAATGGGAAGTAAGTAGGTATATTGTTATGTGCAAATATGATATGATTTAGATGGGTGAAATCTAAGACAAGTTCGTCCTTCGAATTTGCCAAGTAAACGATATGATGATTTTGAAAAGTTGCTACACTGATTTTATAAAGTTGTCGTTTGTCGCAAAACATAAAGATATGGCGTAGTTCAAAGCCATCAGCCCATTTCTAGCATGCTAAATGTTATCGTATTTTGAGTACGTGTTTTTCTTAGACTATTACAATCTATTTNTTTTTTTTTTTTTTTTTGGTTTCATGTGTGTTTTAATGTTTCCGAAGCGAAGCGAGGGCGGGTCGCTAGTAGTGATATAAAAATCAAATCCGCCTCATGTCTCAATGTTGGTGACAGCATTCACGTTGTGATTTCTAAGAGCTCTAGTAATCACCTAATACCAGATAGGCAAGCTAATTTAATCATTTATTTTATAAACATAAAAAAACTAGATATTATAGATAGTTTTGAAGACGTCGTGGCCTAAGGGATAAGACGTCCGGTGAATTCGTGTTGAGCGATGGTTATGAGCTCGTCCACCCATCTAAGTAATAAAAAACTAGATACTAACATTATCATGAAACCGTGCGTGTGTGCGTTAGATGTGTATGTATAGATATAATATTATGTGAATCTTCTAATAGGAATCTCTCGTTTCATTAATATCACAATACCTTCATAACAGCCCGTATCACAGGGTCGTCGGACAGTTGATGTCACTTGCACACACGTGATTAACGACGACGATCGAGTTAAGCCGCTACATGTAACGTGTCAATTTATGTGTTATTGAAGTATATTGTAAGCGGCATAAGGTCGTTTTTTTATTGGCAATTAAGTTTGGGCTGTTTTCTGTAGATACATTTTGATCAGTCTTATTTCTTTACGTTGTGACACTCGTAGGTTATCATTGGCAAACGCCCCACCCGTTCTTCAAGTGAAGCATTCAATTATGCGTCACATACATATGTACACAGATTAAACAACATAACACTGACAAGCAAGTTTGACAAGAACACGCTGTCAAAATATACTAGGCAAAAATGTCTGGGAAAATACATAATATTGAGCTTTGTACGTTTTAAATATAGAAGTGAAAATTAAATCCATTTATGTATATAAAAATGAATTGCTGTTCGTTTGTCTCGCTAAAACTCGAGAACGGCTGGACCGATTTGGCTAATTTTGGTCTTGAATTATTTGTAGAAGTCCAGAGATGGTTTAAAAGGGTAGATAAATATGAAAATGCTCGGAATTAAATAAAAATAACAATTTTGTTTTTCCTTTGATGTGTCCCCCCTAGGACGGATTCCTTTTGTTTGTTTTAAGTTTATTTTATACAAAAGTTTAGGTATTTTATTTATCGATTGAGACACTACGAAGTTTGCCGGATCAGCTAGTTATTAATAAATTTTTGTTGCTCAACTCATAAGCATGTAGGTATCTCAAAAACTTTAGTTCAAACAAATGGTCCTGCTCAGTTTTTTTTGAGTTCCACAATCCTAAATTTTTCTCTTTCATATACCTACTTCACTTAGAAACCTACATACATTTTTTTAATAATATGGATTTGGCAGTGGCTTGGTTGCCTTTGGGATTGCTGATGTCCGTGAGCAATAATGAACCCTCACCATAAGGTTGACCTAATTCTTACTTGTCTACAATAGTTATAATAAAAACGCACTCCAATATTTTACTTCTATTACGTGTGTTATATTAGTATAGAGTGTGTTTTTTTGCAACATCTTGAAACCGATTTTCAAGAATAAGACATAGAAAAAAAACAGATATTCCTTATTTATCCTATAAAGCTTGAATAGTGTCCGAGGAAAACGGTTGTAACACACAAGATAGACGACAGCCGATATTATAACGGTTCGAATCTCAATTTTTGTTATTTGGTCCCGAAATACTTAAAAAGGCATCAACACAAGAAAGAGCAAGATATTGAGCAATATTTGTTATAACACGAGTCCAACTTCGTTATTACAGTTCCCTGGAATGACTTTCCTAAAACCGATCCGCTATGTCACGTACGCTGAATACGACGCCGGAGTTTTTTCTAGTTCTACTCAGATTACTGTACTTTCAAACTGTATCGTTCGAAAGTTGAAACATTATTTCGTGGTAAATACTACTACTTCACGAAAGAAAATAACATCGAAGTAGGTTTTCTTAGAAGCTTCCGTAGTACGTAATGATTATAGATTCTTATAAGTCATTCGGGTGATTTTCACAAAGCCAAAGCGAAACGAAGAAAGGTTTCGATGTAGTAAATAAAAAATAAATGATATTATTTGGAAAATTTATTGTTAACTAATCAATAGCACTTTTACGATTGAATGTCATGTTTTTTATTACATTTATATTACGCTTACATTTAGAATACTTTATAGTTTTTTTACTTTCTTTTTCTTCCTTACTTAATCCTAGGTAAGCTAAGGGACCATTAAACCCACAGACTGATAGGTGAGCTCATGAGCTCAACTTGAGAAAATTGCTAAAACCGACCCAGAGAGCGAGAGCAGTGCTTTGCTGAATCTATCACAGGGTCGCAATCGCGGCCTGAGAAGGCACTGAGAAGATCCGGCGAGAAACTTAATGAGTGCAACTGTAGTTTAGATGAAAACGTCCGAAATAATGTTATTATAATGACACAATAAGAAACGCGACATTACAAAGTAAAAATAGTCTCAATCGTATCCAAGACTCGCGAAAGCCGAAGTAAATACTCCTACTAGATTTGTTACCTTGTGTTGTCTTTGATATCTCTCTCTTTGATATAGGCTTTCATCGGCAAAAAACTAAAAAAAAACCACAGCTTCCATCGCCTCTAATACGTCGTTGACGACTTTTTGGGCGACCACGAGGCTTACTTTTTAGTTTTAATTCGTTCAAAATCTTTATGTCGGAATCGTTCAAATACCGATACCAAATCCAATAACGAGTCGTGTGTTCCTTTGGATTGTACGATTCCTACACGTAATTAGTGTCGTGAGCTGTTTGTACGGAATGCCGCACAACTACTTGCGCTACTGCCGCGACGGAACTCCTATTAAATAATCACTCGTTAATGTGTTCATATTGATGAAAAATATCCCAAATACAATTAAAATAAACCATTAATAAAAAAAAAGAAGACCAAATTTGAAAATTAAAATCCATGTTTTTTAAATAAAATTATTTGAATTTAGAATTTATTGCCAGCCATATATAAGTATATATAAATTTAACTTCGAATGGCCAGTATTGTAAAACGGTAACTTCATCATAAGAAAGATCTATTATTTCTGTTATTATTCTTGAAAATATTTAAAACAGACTATTTATCTGCGAATGTGGATTGTAACGTGGTTGTTGTTGCTGTACGTGTAATTAGTGCTATTATAAAGAATTAATCTAAGACTTAACGGTATCGAGCAATATTAAAACATAATAATAATAATATGTCCTTCATATTTTTTGTTAAAATAAGGAGCAAAAAGCTCTTACTTTAACCGTTGTCAGTGAAAATTTAGGAAGTGAACATTCATATTGAAAATAAATGTGGACAATTAATATGAATCATCAAATTTGAAATAAAAATTAATAACTAATAATCTACTGGTTTGTAGCGGAAATAGTTGAAATGTGAATTTAACTTTTCTCATTTCATCGGCACTTTGTAATTATGTACATAAAAATTAATAAAGGTACAATTATACGCATAAAGAATTAAAATACCTGAATATTTTTTAACTATCCATTAGCACTAAACTTCACAAAAATTACAACTGTCGACAACGTTAGGTATTATCAATCACAGTTCGATTAACATACACCAATATCTTAGAGCAAACACTACAGGCGAAAAGCGTAACGCAAAACAAACTGATAAACAGTGAGCAAAGATTTCATAGGAATTTCGCACGGCACGCCGTTTTCATTCGTCACCGTCTAGTAATTAGGCGAAGCTAGAACTATTAAATCAATACACCTT